TTTTTAAAAAAAACAAATGTAACCATCGAGTCCAAGCTGACCAAGAACTCAGGGATTTCCATCTGGTCACCAAGGCACAGGTTTGCAGCCAAATAGCAGCGCATGAGACAAAAAACCACCAGCCAAATCAGCAAGTGTCTAAACTTGTTTTTTTGGTTGGGTTCGCGCGCCGGGGGGCAGCCATTTTATACCCAAAAAACGCGCGCGAACCTCACGAAAAAATACTTTGATTTTTCTTTTTGGGCATCGAAACCCACTGCGTAAACTAAATAGGTGGCAGCCGAAAAAATGAAAAACACATAAAAACACACATGAACACCCATGAGCAATGAGCACCCGCGAATTCACATGAACTCCTCTGAGTTTCATAAACGATGCAGCTGACAAGTTAGGTTTTGGACAATTGTTTTAACATTTTTGATTATTACTGTGTGTTGTTGTTTTGCATTTGTTGGTTTCAATTTTCTTCTTGGTTTTGTTTTTTCATCCTGTGCTGGCTTGGCGCTCCCAAAAACTATCCATTGCCATTGTTGCAAAACATGTTTTTTTTCTTGTTTGGGTATGTCTGAAAATGAGGTGACCTTTTTTCCCTTCAACGTAACCATTTTGGGGTCAAAAAAGGACACTTCATGTTGAGACATACCCATTTGCTCATATTGTTTTGGACATGTGTTTTTGTTGCTTCCATGCTGTGTTGGCTTGCCCCATCTAAAACATATCCGACTGAAATTTACAGATTCACTTTAGCACAAAAGGCTTCACTTTAGCACAAAAAATCACTTCAGACCCGCATATATCAAAAGAAAGCGACATACATCACTCACAAAGCAATGAAGAAACATTTGAAAAACTATTTGCCAAAAAAACATGTAATTCAAAAACTCCAAAGGAAACAAATATGGAAGAAGACTGTGTCTTTAGTTTAAACTGTTGAAAATATAGTTTGGTGAAAGAAAAACAAAGTCTCAAACAAGACAGTTTTTAGGTTATTTGGCTAAATAAACTATTTAGGCAAACAGGCAAACAACCTAAAAGACAGAACGTGAAATAACCTAATAGATAGAATTTAACCTTAAAAACTAAAATAACCTAATAGGCAGGAATTAGCCCAACCAGAGCTTTTGGGCAGTTTTTGGCGATCGAACCTCGTTTCGTGCGAAAGGGTTGCGTTTCGTGCCGTCCCGTTGGCACTGCCCCTGCCCCCGCCTTCAGAAGAGAAATAGAAAAGTAGGAGAGGGCAAGAGGGCAAGAGGGCAAGAAGGCAAGAGGGCAAGAGGGCAAGAGGGCAAGAGGAGAAGATGTGAAGGTGTGAGGATGTCAAGACGTGAAGATGAGAAGATATGAAGATGAGCAGATGTGAAGATGTGAAGATGTGAAGATGTGAAGATGAGCAGAAGATGTGAAGATGAGAAGATGTGAAGATGTGAAGATGTGAAGATGAGAAGATGAGAAGATGTGAAGATGAGAAGATGTGAAGTGAGAAGATGTGAAGTGAGAAGATGTGAAGATGAGCAGATGTGAAAATGTGAAGATGTGAAGATGAGCAGATGTGTAGATGAGAAGTTGTGAAGATGAGCAGATGTGAAGATGAGCAAATGTGAAGATGAGCAGATGTGAAAATGAGAAGATATGAAGATGTGAAGATGAGCAGATGTGAAGATGAGCAGATGTGAAGATGTGAAGATGAGCAGATGTGAAGTTGTGAAGATGAGCAGATGTGAAGATGAGCAAATGTGAAGATGTGAAAATGTGAAGATGAGCAGATGTGAAGATGAGCAGATGTGAAGATGAGAAGATGTGAAGATGAGCAGATGCGAGGATGAGAAGATGTGAAGATGAGCAGATGTGAAGATAGAGCCTGGAACTACTGCAATGCGGAACCATCCCTTTTGGAGTGGGGGTACCAGTGCATGTTTGCTCGTGAGCGTCTGGTGATTACCAAATCGAAACACCAACTGGCATGGTGCTCGATGCGCTCGCTTTCGGATCTGTTCTGGAAGACCCTGCAAAAGTTCCGTCATCTGTTGGCTTCCAATCACGGTTTGCGAAGCACCTAGATCAACAATTCCACAAGTACCTGACGATGCAAAGTGAATGTCATGAGATATCACGCTGGACGCCGGGTGACTTGACATGGCATGCTGGTGAGACATTGAGGGACACTCTGCACTATGGGATTTCGGCTTCACAGCATCATTGTGGTTGGCTCGGATGCACAGTTCATTCCTGATGGCCGTTCGGATGCGTGCCATGACATGTGACTTAAATCCCCATTTGTTTCCCTTATACTTATTTCCATTATCACCCGGTTTATCTCCCGTTACAACCCCAAAACATGCGGCTGCACATGTGGACAAAGGCGCTGGGAGTTTCATCTCAGGCAAGTGGAAGATCTCTGGTGGGATCTCATGAGGCTCTTAGTCAACGACGGCCATGGAAATCGGAACAGTGGATCCATCACTCGATGGTGCAGTGGATGAGGTCGATTGGCGAAGGCTACATTCAGCCTTCCAGTGACCCTTTTTCCCGCACAGTTTGCATGACGAGTTGGCAATTCTCTGTGCCAGGGACTTGCCTTTTCCACTGCCTTTTCCAAAACCCTTCTTACTTTTCTCACAGGCCAGAATCCTCTGAATTTGGCACGCTCTGTCAATCTGCGTCGAGCATCTTGATAAGAGGAAAAATATGCAGCAAGGTCACTGTCATTTTGCACAGCCTCAGACACTGCGTCCTCGAATTGGACAACCATGGCGGCATCTTCATCATTGTCATTTACCAGTTGAGCTAGTGTTTCATCATCTAGTGCATCATCCATAGCCCAGTAGGTATCATGTTCTTCATCATCTTCAACTTCATCCACGTTGAAAGCAAGGTGATCATAGGTTTTCATATTCTTCTCACGTTTGGCATCTGTGTATTCTTGAAAGAAAACCGATCCTAGCATTTGAATGGCTGCCACCACTTTCTTCCATTCCAGTTTCTGTCCAGCTGTCTCAGCACCTGACTCTACCAGAACACTCTTTTTGTCCTTCTGCTGAAAGGCGACTGCCGCGAAGCAGCACGTAGGCCATGATCTGTTCCATGTTGATGTCTTTTGTCAGCAATTCCGTCCACACTACATCAACCCGTGCGATGAAACTGTCACCTGTTTCATCGGCTTTCTGCTGGCGCCTGTACAAGGCTTTCTCCACAAGCTCGCTCGAAACGATGCTCCAGAGGTACCTGTCCCCAGGTTCCACCAACCAGTTCAACCAACTTCTGCACCCCTTTGCGGTCATTCACCAGTAGATCTTTCTGATGCAGATGGAGCTTTTGGTAGGCCGATCCCTTCGTGTTGAGGATCAACCGAGTGATAAGCTCTAGGATTTTGGTCCGGGGCCATGCTTCAAGCAGTAGATGAACCTTACTGGACCAAATGTCCACATTGTCACTTGCAGGATCAAATGAAGGCACTAACAACGCAAGCTGATTCGAGATGGCACCACCCCCATCAGTTCCAGTCTGTCCTCCAGATGATTCCGACATGGATTCGGAAGCTCTCGATCGCCAGGAGCTCCGCTACCAATGTCGGATTGACACTGGTATTGATACCTTTAAAGTTCTCCACCAAGTTGAATCCCTGCCCAACTGCTGCAACACCTTGTTTTGCCACTGCGAAGCCACGAACCTGCAATCAGTCCAACGCACCGTAGCTGTCCCACAGCCACCACTGCTAAGCGTCACTGATAGCGCTATTGCTCAAGCGAATCCCTCCCTCCAGCCCAGAGGCTGCGGAGATTGGCGAGTCATCTGATGACCCTTGGATTATGAGGTAAACAGCTTAAGCACATGTGAACTGGCCCTGCTTTCACAATATATATATATATATGTACACATACATCATTTACACACTAGCATTAAATTTTCAAGATACAAAAAGAACCTTTTGTGTGCAAAGTTGCAAGGGCACATCAGCATCATACGTGTGAAATCCTTGACTTGTGTCCTTTTCTTGCGCTTTTGGTTCCGCTCATTTTCTCTTGGGCAACCTTATTTTGATATAGTTGTTCTCTGAGTTTCTGAAGTGGTTATCTTCTCTCTTTATATTCTTCCAGTCTTCATGACTCTTTCAGTGCCTTTCTTTGCATCTTCTCGTTGTTCCTTCTTTCTTAAGTTTTCTTTATCTTTGTCTCTTATGGCCCTGGTTTTAATGCGGCTTTTGAACTTTCTCTTCGCTCTAAATCTGTTCTCTTCATCATACACGTTTCTTATCATGTGTTTTTTCCTCTCCTTTATTTGCTGTTCTTCATCGTTTTCAATTTTAGCCCTCTCTCTATCTTTCTCTCTTTTGAAGCACTAAGGCCATGAACCTCCTGTCTGCGGCAGCCGAAATGACAGCACCGTCGGGTTCCCCGGAAACACTTTCAAGATCCAAACATATCAAGGCACTTTCCAGAGTCTTTCAGATAGTTTCAAAATTATTCGAAACTGACCGCTCGAAATTCTCTGCACATTCAAAAACCGTTTTGTTTTGATATATTTCGATGAATATTTTTATTCGCATTATGCGTTCAAGTCTTCGTAAAGTTCTGACATGTTCTGATTCTTTTTGGAACCTTTGAAATTGACATCTTGCGGCGTTGGATATTTTGCGCGGCCGAGCGCACGGGCGTACGGGTGTAAGACGCTTTCCAGGGCGAAGCGGCAAACGTCATTCTGAGCTCCCATGCAAAGTTGTAAGTTATATGGCCACGACAGCAGCATGGCAACAGCAAGAAGAATCGGGGCAGCAAGACTCCTGCGCAAGACCGCGTAATCCGGGCACTGGCCGTGTGAGGAAGTAGCATGGCAGACGTATGAGTCCTTGATTTCCTATGCGCAAAGTTGTTGCGCGCGGTTGTCGAACCTGATTTGCGTTAGCGCAAATGCAGCCGCATGCCAGAGTCTTTCAGTGCAAACTCTTGAAGTGTTCAGTGTATTTCAGTGTCATCTCTTGTCACCATGACTGAAACTGAAAGGGGCTCAAATCGCAGAGCTGTGACTACACGAAGCCGCTAGTGCTAGGACAGTGAGGACCAGGAGCTGTGACTTGCTCCGGCTCCGAGTAGTCCGGGAGGTCCGGGTAGTCTCGCAGTCCAGTCATGTCGGATGAAGATAGACAGATTGAGCAGTGGAAGGTGAAGCGGTTGGTGAAGATGTTGGATGCTGCTCGAGGCAATGGCACCTCAGCGATCACTTTGATTCTCAACGCCAAACAGGATATCAACTTGACCAACAAGATGCTGACCGAAGAGTATGGCACGGCATCATGCATCAAGTCCCGTGTCAACAGGCTGTCCGTTTTGTCCGCCATCACGAGTACCCAGCAGCGCTTGAAGAAGTACAACCGCACTCCACCCAATGGCCTCATCATCTTTTGCGGTGAGGTTCTCACAGAGGACAGACCAGCGGACATATCATACGTTTAGAGCTGTTTAGACGGGTTAGGACACATGGGGTGACGCATGTGACACGCGAACTAGAAAGCCTCCGCGAAGTTTGAAGAAAGATTGAAAAAAGTCTGTGCTTGTCAGATATTATTCATGATATCATTTTGTGAGGATCTCTAAATTGCATAAGTTTGGCACGCAGATGGGCAATCGGTGAAACACTCGTGACAGGTCTGCCACATTGGGGTTTGATGATCCAAGCAACACAACTCCAATCAATGTGTCCACACTGGGTTTTTTACGGTAGGAGTTACGGCCGCTGCTTGATCAGGTTGCTCACTCTGGGTTCCCGCGTTTTACTTGTAAATTTCTACGTAAAATGGTTCTTGTGACATGTCCATGCGCATTTCGACTGCGCAGGCTCGCACAAAACGCGTGTCACGGTTTTGGGATCGGTCCTCCTCCCCCACATCATCATCATCCTCATTATCATCATCTTCCTCCTCAACATCATCATTCTTTACATCATCATGTTTTCCCCCTTGACATCATTGTGCCCAACATCCTCCTCCACCTCATCTGCCGCAACATCATCATCCTCCACCTCTTCTTCCGCGACTTCATCATCCTTTTCAGCCTCCTCCTCCAGAACATTATCATCCTCAACATCATCAACTTCCCCCTTAACATCATCATCCTCCACCTCATCTTTCGCATTCTCATCCTCATCCTCATCCCCCTCAGCATCATCATCCTCAACCTCACCCTCCACATCATCCACCACATCATCCTGCACCTCATCATCCTCAACATCATCATCATCATCATCATCATCATCATCATCCTCTTCGTCGTCGTCATCATCATTATCATCTTCTTCATCATCTTCATCTTCAACATTTATCATACATTATCCTCACACGCACACACTGGACAAGAAAGTGTCTTTATATCATCGATCCGTCGGGAACTGAATCCCATCACATGCAATTAGATTAGATTATAATATATATATATATATATACATATGTTGACATCCCAGCTGCGCACGACCGGGATCCCGGTGGCCCCCTGCTTTAATGTATTATAATGTAATCTAATATATATAGATGAACCGCGAGTGAAGTTTTACGTCTATTTATTCAGACGTTTCACACACACACACACACCCTGCCTTTGGCAGGGTGGTGTTTGTGCAAATGAGGTGAAAGTGAGGATGAAAGGGGAACGAAGGTGAGATGAAATGAAGATGGGGTGAAAGGTTACTTAACCAGGACTGAGGAGGGGAACGCAAAAGAAGAGGGACAGAGCAAACACACACCAACACACCTAGCCCGGAGCGGGCGAACCCTGAAAAGGCAAGGGAAGAAAAAAGCGGAGGCCGACGGACACGGACCAAGACCAGCGGAGGGGGGGGGAAGACGGAAGCGCCTGAACCAACCTGACACACCGAAAACCTACACCAACCTCAGCACGCACAGAAACCAACCTACCTCGGGAGGGAGGAACGCATGAAATAGGGGACCAAATGGGGGCCTAGCTGATGAGACAAAAGAAAACAACAATTAAGAAAGGATTCAGTTCCTATAAGCTGTACAAATTCAGACAGTTACTCCCTCAGAGGGGACAGCGTTCAAGTCAGGCCGCATGGGCATAAATGGCTGTTCAAGTTCAAACGAATTAAGTGCACAACATGTTTTACCTCACCAGACAACCATCAAGAGAAAGAGAACCACACCTGGAAAACGTGGGCCTGCCTGTAAGGTCATTGATGCAGCATGCTGTTGTGAGACAACCCGAACTGCGGCAGAAAAGGAGGTTTGTGGTTGTTCGGAACGGCTTCACACAGAAGGAGTGCAATGTCCAGAGGTTCATATAAGGACAGCGGGACAACAGAAAGTGGTGAAGAACCGAAAGGCCGACTGTTTCACATTATCTAAACGAATTACTAATTGAAAATTGCCAATTCAGACATCCAGCCGGTCAACATTCACCCACAACTCCCTCCAATGGGCCCATGGCACCATGTCGGAGCCACCATGGACACTAGACAAGAAAGGATCTTTATATCGATCCGTCAGGAACTGAATCCCTTCACATGCAATTAGATTAGATTTAGAAATAAATAAATAAATAAATAAATATAAATAAATATATATATATATATATGGTGACATCCCAGCTGCGCACGACGGCGCCCAGGGACTGTCACCGCAGTGCCCAGCTACAGCCCCCACTTGAGGGGTTGCCGTCCAGGGCCAATGGAAGGAGGTACGTTTTCACGGGTCCCGGGGGGTGTCTTCGTTGGCCACCGACCCCCCCGGGACCCTGGTATAATATAATATAATATAGTATAATATAATATAATATAATATAATATAATATAATATATAGATGAACCGCGAGTGAAGTTTTAAGTCTATTCAAACGTTTCACACACTCACACACACACACTCTTGCCGGTGTAACACAGTTTGGATTCTTGGATTGTTTGGACTCCAGGACAACAAGGAGAAAAAATTGACCATTGATTTTGAGCCCTTCAAACCGATCAACACTTCGATGTATTTGTGTGACAGCAAGTTTCACACAGAGCCTCTAGCAGAGCTCATGGAGGATGATGACAAGTTTGGTTTTTTGATCATGGATGGAAATGGCAGTCTCTTTGGCACCGTGCAGGGCAATCACCGTGAAATCTTGCACAAATTCACCGTCGAGCTGCCCAAGAAGCATGGCCGTGGAGGACAGTCTGCTTTGCGTTTTGCCCGGTTGCGACTGGAGAAGCGTCACAACTACGTGCGCAAAGTTGGAGAGACCGCAACACAGATGTTCATCCCAAATGGAGAGACTCCAAACATCAAGGGCCTTATTGTGGCTGGTTCGGCTGAGTTTAAGCAGGACTTGACCACCAACACAGACTTGTTTGACCAGAGACTCGCAGCCATCGTAATCCCTCCACTGCTTGATATTAGCTATGGGGGTGAGGCTGGATTCAACCAGGCAATTGAATTGTCTGCTGAGACGTTGAAAAACGTGAAATTTGTGCAGGAAAAAAAACTTGTGACCAAATTCTTGGATGAAGTTGCCACAGACTCTGGCAAGTACTGCTTTGGCATCCACGACACGATGCAAGGTTTAGAAGCTGGAGCAGTAGAAACTCTCATCATTTGGGAGCAGCTTGAGATCAAAAGACTTGTGATTCGCAATCCTCACACTGACACAGAGGAGGTGAAGTTTGTGACACCAGAACAGGAAAAGGATCCCAAGCTCTATGTTGACAAAGACACCAATGTTGAACTCAATGTCACCGAGAATGAAGCTTTCTTGGACTGGATAGTGGTGAACTACAAGAACTTTGGAACAAAACTCGAATTCATCTCTGACCGGTCGCAGGAGGGAAACCAATTTGTGAAAGGCTTCGGTGGTATTGGTGGGCTCATGAGATACCAGTTGGAGTTTGACATGTTGGAACCTGACGTGGCAGGCTCAGACAGCGATGATGACTTCATGTAAAATTCGAAGAACTCAGAGGTTGTGAACAATGCGGCGTGCAACGACAAGTGAGTGTGAAATAGCGCAACATAGTGCAACAATTGAGTGTACTCAAGTGAGACACTAGTCTTGACTAGTGAGGACTCAACTAGTCTTGCAGTCTTGCGGAAGGCGTGTTTGCTCAGCACATTAAGCTGTAAATGGAACAACATTGAAATGCTTTGCAAAGTCGTAGCAAAATGTTTTGCAATATGTTTTGTATGTTTTGTATGTTTTGTTTCATGGTTTGCCATCCGCTTAGCCCGGCTGGTTGTACAGTGTACAGCTGTTGAGACTTCGAATCACGACGAACGCAGTGTGTCTCACAGCCAAACTGATTCTCAGCTCGAACATAAAACTGATGAAAAAACAACAAAGTGCAAACAACAAAAAACAACAAAAAAACAACAACATATCCAACTGGTGCAACCAACCAGCCCAACTGTAAGTTTTGTTGCCTATGATTGCTTGTCAATATGCGTTCCAACACAACTTGCTTTTCATATCGCTTCATGACTGTGAAAGTTCCTTGGTCTTGTGTGGTCCAGCGTGTTTGCGGCATTGAATTTCAGAGTCCTGTTCGGTGGCCTTGACATGCATGCTGAAATTGAAATTGTACATAATTGAACATACGAGAACAAGTTGGAAACATGGTTGAACATCGTTGAATGAGCTGCAAACTTTGAGATGCTGCATCATCACAGTGAAAAGTTTTGAGGTCCTGGACATTGCGGAGACATGAACTAAGTGCACGCGAACAATTTAGCCATATTTCGCAGCAAGCTCCAAGCCTATCAAAATGTTGCGGCCCTTTTGCTAAGGCATCGAGTGTTTTCTATATGTCTGTGCCTAGAACAATAAAATCTGGTCGACGGTAGGTGAGCACAAGGCCACCAAGGCCACCTCCCATTCGGTTTGAAGTCTTCAAACCAGTGCGGCAAAGCACGGAAAGCAATCCGGGGTAGCAAACTACCACCTTTCCCCCTGTCAAAGTAGGTAGATACATATATAAATATACGGTCAGAACATCCCTATACCAACATGATGAATCTTACGCACACAAAACTTTTCTGTGAGTTTCTCGAACTAGAGAAGGGACCTGAAAGACACCAACAAAACATGATCATACATTACCCAAACACAAGCTGAAGCCAGTGAAGCAGTGCCAAGACAGCAAAACTTAAAAAGAGAGAAACTGCTGTGGAGCATGCCCCCCCTAGGTGAAACTTCCACTTCGGCACGCTGCCAAGAGGATGCGGAATGATGTGCAAAAAATCTTCACCCATTCAGTCAATAGAATACACGCAAGAACAATCACAATTTGCCTGGGAAATGCAAAGTCGTTTTGGTCGTCCTTCATTTTTGTTTCGGATGATATTTGCATTTTTTGTGTTTGTTTACTTTCTCGCACGCGACACATGCTGCCTTTACCTTATGGCTCCGTCGGTAAGGTCAGGAAAAGCGCTGGAGATGTCATGGGCCTCAAGTGTGCAGGATTGTTTGATATGTGTATTGTGTTTTCTGTCTTGTGTCACTGTGTATTGTTGTTTAATGTTTGTTGCTGTTGTTGAATAAGTTGTTGAAGATGTTGTTACGTTGTTTAAGATGTTGTTGAAGATATTGCTGAAGATGATGTGCAAGATGTTGTTGAATACATTGTTGAAGATGTTGCTGAATAGCTTGAAGATGTTGCTGAATATGTTGTTGAAGATGTTGTTGAAGATGTTGCTGAATAGGTTGAAGATGTTGCTGAATATGTTGTTGAACATTTTGTTGAAGATGATGTTGAAAATGATGTTGACGATGGTGTTGACGATGATGTTGACAATGATGTTGGAGATGGTGTTGAAGATGGTGTTGAATAATATGTTGAATATTATGTTGAAGATGGTGTTGAAGAAGATGTTGAGGATGATGTTGAAGATGTTGATGAAGATGTTGTTGAAGATGATGTGCAATCAGTGCAATATATTGTTGAAGATGTTGTTGAACTTGTTGTTAAATATGTTGTTCAATATTTTGTTGAAGATGATGTTGACAATGGTATTGAACACGGTGTTGAAGATGATGTTGAAGATGATGTTGAAAATTATGTTGAATATGGTGTTGAAGATGATGTTAAAGATATTGCTGAAGATGTTGTTGAAGATGTAGTTGAATATGATGTTGACTATGATGTTGAAGATAGTGTTGAATATGTTTTTTGAACATGATATTGAACACAATGTTGAATATTATGTTGAATATGATGTTGACAAAGATATTGAACACGGTGTTGACAGATGTTGAAGATGATGTTGACAATGATATTGAACACGGTGTTGAAGATGATGTTGAAGATGATATTGACAATGATATTGAACACGGTGTTGGAGATGATGTTGAAGATGATGTTGACAATGATATTGAACACGGTGTTGAAGCTGATGTTGAAGATGATGTTGACAGTGATATTGAACACGGTGTTGAAGATGATGTTGAAGATGATGTTCACAATGATATTGAACACGGTGTTGAAGATGATGTTGAAGATGATGTTGACCATGATATTGAACACGGTGTGAAGATGATGTTGAAGATGATGTTGACAATGATATTGAACACTGTGTTGAAGATGATGTTGAAGATGATGTTCACAATGATATTGAACACGGTGGTGAAGATGATGTTGAAGATGATGTTGACCATGATATTGAACACGGTGTTGAAGATGATGTTGAAGATGATGCTGCTAATTGATATTGAACACGGTGTCGAAGATGATGTTGAAGATGATGTTGACAATGATATTGAACGCGGTGTTGAAAATTATGTTGAAGATGATGTTGACAATGATATTGAACATGATGTTGAAGATGATGTTGACAATGATATTGAACACGGTGTTGAAGATGATGTTGAAGATGATGTTGACAATGATCTTGAACACGGTGTTGAAGATGATGTTGAAGATGATGTTGACAATGATATTGAACACAGTGTTGAATATTATGTTGAAGATGATGTTGACAATGATATTGAACACAGTGTTGAAGATTATGTTGAAGATGATATTGACAATGATATTGAACACGGTGTTGGAGATGATGTTGAAGATGATGTTGACAATGATATTGAACACGGTGTTGAAGATGATGTTGAAGATGATGTTAACAATGATATTGAACACGGTGTTGGAGATGATGTTGAAGATGATGTTGGCAATGGTATTGAACACGGTGTTGAAGATGATGTTGAAGATGATGTTGACAATGATATTGAACACGTTGTTGAAGATTATGTTGAATATCATGTTGACAATTATATTGACAATGATATTGAACACGGTGTTGAAGATGATTTTGATAATGATACGGAACACGGTGTTGAAGATGATGTTGAAGATGATGTTGACAATGATATTGAACACGTTGTTGAAGATGATGATGAAGATGATGTTGACAATGATATTGAACACGGTGTTGAAGATGATGTTGAAGATGATGCTGACAATTGATATTGAACACGGTGTTGAAGATGATAATGAATATGATGCTGAAAATGATATTGACCACTGTGTTGAAGATAATGTTGAAGATGATGTTGACAATGATGTTGAACACGGTGTTGAAGATGATGTTGAGAATGATGTTGACAATGATATTGAACACGGTGTTGAAGATGATAATATAATATGGTGTTGTGTTGACAATGATATTGAACACGGTGTTGTAGATGATGTTGAAGATGATGTTGACAATGATATTGAACACGGTGTTGAAGATGATGTTGAAGATGATGTTGACAATGATATTGAACACGGTGTTGAAGATGATGTTGAAGATGATGCTGACAATTGATATTGAACACGGTGTTGAAGATGATAATGAACATGATGTTGACCATGATATTGACCACTGTGTTGAAGATGATGTTGAAGATGATGTTGACAATGATATTGAACACGGTGTTGAAGATGATGTTGAAGATGATATTGACAATGATATTGAACACGGTGTTGAAGATGATAATCAAGATGGTGTTGACAATGATATTGAACACGGTGTTGAAGATGATGTTGAAGATGATGTTGACAATGATATTGAACATGGTGTTGAAGATGATGTTGAAGATGATGTTGACAATGATATTGAACACGGTGTTGAACATGATGTTGAAGATGATGTTGAAGATGATGTTGACAATGATATTGAACACGGTGTTGAAGATGATGTTGAAGTTGATGTTGACAATGATATTGAACACGGTGTTGAAGATGATGTTGAAGATGATGTTGAAGATGATGTTCACAATGATATTGAACACTGTGTTGAAGATGATGTTGACAATGATATTGAACACGGTGTTTAAGATGACGTTGAAGATGATGTTGACAATGATATTGAACACAGTGTTGATGATGATGTTGAAGATGATGTTGAAAATTCATATTGAACATGGTGTTGAAGATGATGTTGAAGATGATGTTGACACTGATATTGAACACACTGTTGAAGATGATGTTGACACTGATATTGAACACTGTGTTGAAGATTATGTTGAGGATGATGTTGACAATGATATTGAACACGGTGTTGAAGATGATGTTGAAGATGATATTGACAATGATATTGAACACGGTGTTGAAGATGATAATCAAGATGGTGTTGACAATGATATTGAACACGGTGTTGAAGATGATGTTGAAGATGATGTTGACAATGATATTGAACATGGTGTTGAAGATGATGTTGAAGATGATGTTGACAATGATATTGAACACGGTGTTGAACATGATGTTGAAGATGATGTTGAAGATGGTGTCGAAGATGATGTTGTAGATGATGTTGAATATGATGTTGAAGATGATGTTGAACATGATGTTGTTGTGGTGGTGGTCCTGCTGGTGTTGGTGCTGGATTTGGTGCTGTTGCTGCTGCTGCTGCTGGTGTTGGTGGTGGTAGTGGTGGTGGTGGTGGCTATTACTGTTGCTCTTGTTCTTTTTATTTTTCTTGTTGGTCTTGGTGGTTTTGTTGGTTTTGTTGTTCTTGTTCTTGTTGCCGTCCTCGCCACAGTTGCAGGGCCAGCTGAGACCACCATGCCCTGCCGCGCTCCACCTTGTTGAGGCGGGGGCCACTAGGTTAGCTGTTGCTCTTGAAATAGCATAGTATGCATAGTTACAGCAATAAAACAGATCGAACTAGGTACGTGATTTAT